CCCCAAAACCCCAAAACCCCAAAACCCCAAAACCCCATTTTATTTCCTGATATTGAAACAATGAAATAGTTGGCACTTAGATGCTATATCTTTCAAATAAGTAGAACTTTTAATGACCAATCTAAGCTAAAAGTTCTAAAGAGTTATTTCCTTGAAAAATAGAGATATTTATGCTTTTTATTATAAAAAAACTATATTATTCCTTTGAAAATAGCTTATAATAGTTATTTTTGAGTATTAGCTGGTTAAAACACAAAAATATGTGATGAAAGACTTGTTGAATTTTGAGCAATATTCTGTCGAGAAAAAGAGAGTTATACGCTAAGACTAAATGCAGATATTAATGATTTGGTTATTTTTTATATTCTTAGATTCCTATATATTATCTTAAAGTAGCACAGGTATTATTCTCTCAAATTTCAAGAATTAGTAGTAAGGTGGAGTAACTATAGCCTTTTTAAAAGGATACTTCTCGAATACTTTTCTGATATTTTCTTTTGAAACGTAGCTTCCATAAAGCCAAATTTTGTTCAGGCTATTTTGAAGATTTCTTGACTGAGATAATCCATTTATCAAATTATCAAAATGCAGGAGATTGTTCTTCCAATCTCCCAACTCACTGACTCCTCATCTATAAAAATCGATAGTCTTGATCTTGCATTCTTTAAATGCTTTAGATAGGCTAGGTATTTCATGAAGATGGATCTTGCATTGATCAAAAATGATTTTCTCTTTATCTCTGCACAAATATAACAACTTCTTGAACTGCTTCTGGCTAACTAAAAAGTCATGAACATTATTTTCAAAGCTATTACTAAAGTTATGGCTTGTAGTTCTTAAATGGTTAGAGCAAAGCAGTAGTCCAAATAGACTTAAGGCTTACTTTCAAAATACCCAAATGCAACCTGGTGGGTTACTTTTGGTAGGACCTGTGCTAGCTCTTTTAAGTATCTTCCAATATTCATTTTCTTAAAATTGCTCTCTTCAGATCATGCATCCTGAAGATGAGGACTTGAGCTTAAGCAGAATTTGAATTCTTTCACTTGCTGAGGGAAGAATCTTCTGAGTAAAGATTTTACTACCTCAGACTTTTTATTCACTGAGTATAAGGATATTGCCTGTCATCTTGGATGCTTATATTTCTCTATATTGGCGATTAAATGATAGTTTTGAGAGTTTAAAATGATCTGATGAATTCTATTAATTTAATTAAAGTGGTAATGTTTTAGTAAAAATATAGCATGTTTTGAACATCAACAAATCCTTATTCCTTATGAGCAAAATTTTACAGCTTCGAAGACAAGAAACCAAAGAAAAGATTCTTTTCAAATGCCTCTGACATAACTTTGTTCATTAACAGATATTAAATTTTTCTCTAAATTGTTATAAAACCTAAAAACTCACATTTAAGGTAAACATACCAAATCCACCATCTTCCCCAATAACCCCCTCAAAAAATCATTAAAGTTTAAAAATCCCCACAAATCTCTCCACTCCCATTCCCATATCCCTAAAATCCACAGATCTTCACCTCCACTCAAGCCTTCAATTTCCTTCAAAAATTCCAAATAACTGGTAAACTCCCTAATAGATTTCTCAAAAAATATTCTTGGAGCGTAACCAGACTTTTGTGAGTATATTTCAGAAAAATAGAAGGAAATGGATGGATTTTAGGAGTTGAATGAGGGCGATTTTGGGGATTGAGCAAGCTTGGGTAAGGATTTTGAGGTGGAGTAGAGGGAAGTGGGATTTTAAGATATTAGAAGGTAAAGAGGAAGTTTGAGAGGGTTAGGAGGAATTGAAAAGGGTGAAGAGGGGTGAAGTTTATGCAGCTAATGTTTGGGTCTGAAGATGATATGGAGATTTTAAAGGATGCTTGGATGGTTTATGAGTATTTAATTGATATTGGGGCTTTTAGTCGATAAAAATCATAGATGTACGCTATAGAGCATATGAAAATTTAATATTTTTGATATAAGTATGCAAATTATCTGTTTTTCCTTTACTTAGTGATTGAGATATTTTTACAGCATCATCCTCTTCAAAGTTGATCCATATTCTTTTGGGATAGGGACCATCAATTGCTCTTCAAAATCATATCTCATAATATTTTGATGAGAGAATTTTCTTGTCCAATTTCTATATAATTTTAGAATTATTTTTGAATTAATCATTGTGACTTTAATGAGAAATCAAAATTATTAATAAAGCAAATACAAGCATTGGTAAAAATCAAGCCCTAGTCTTAATTTTTGAATAAAGTGATTTTACCTCTTCATTTCAATACTTTTCGTAAATTTTCGCATACTGAATTTTAAGTTTTCTGATCGATTCTTTCTGTTTCTCAAATAGTCTTATCTGAATAAAATCAGAAAGTTTGGGATGTTCTAATGTCTATTACAAAGTTAGAATCTCAGGATGGGATATTAATCTTTGAAAGCTTACAGTCACAAGCCCTTTCTCGATTGCTCACCATGCTAATGCTACTGAGAATTTCTGAAATTGTTGATAGTTTTCAATCTCTTCAATAACTTGACTTTTCTCTTCGTTAAATAATTTTTTAGGCATTTTAGAGACTATAATTCTAAGTAATCAGGTATAGTTTTCATCATCTCAAGGGTTTTGCTTAATGTAGCTCTGGAAAGAGTTTTGCAGTCTATTTTACAAAGTTATGCATATATTCATCCTAGTAGTCCAAAAGTAAACCCATAAATTTATGGTATAATGGTCATAACTATAAAATAACAAGACCTCTATTCATAAACAAAACCTCTAAAACCCCTTCTAACCCTTATAACCTACTCATAACCCCTCTATTATCCATATTTATTAATTTTAATAAACTCAACTAATCCTTCTTTTATCGGGGTTTTGGGGTTTTGGGGTTTTGGGGTTTTGGGG